AATTCTTTTTAGTTTTGTTTTGTTTTTTGTTTCGTTTTGTTTTTTTCGAGACAGGGTTTCTCTGTATTGTTTTAGAGGGTGTCCTGGAACTCGCTCTTGTAGACCAGGCTGGCCTCGAACTCAGAGATCTGCCTGCCTCTACCTCCCGAGTGCTGGGATTAAAGGTGTGCGCCACCAACGCCCAGCATCCTACGATTCTTATTACTATTACTGTGTGTGCACACATATGGAGGTCAGGGGCAGCTTTGTGGAACTTGGTTCTGTCACCTTTACATGGCTGGTCTGGCTTGTGCAGCAAGTTTACCCACATGCGTTTGACCACCTGGAGCCGGTGGGCATGTCCCAGCCTCAGGCAGAAGGATCTTGAATTGTGAGGCTAGCCTGGGAAGCACGGTGGAACTTTGTCTCTAATGCATACTCAAAAACAAAACAAAAAAAAAACAAGAACAAAAACAGGAAAAAAAACTGTGCTAAACATCTTAGTGACTAAATCCTGTGTACTTCTAAGGTTCTTCACTCGAGATGGTGATCTCATAGAGTTCAAGGTGTGAGGGCAGCTTAATGCATTTCTTACAGGGCAGGACAAGGTCCTGCCTGCTATTGTCATGCCTAAGTCATAAGCTCCCCAGAGACCACCAGGAGGCTGAGTTCAATTCCTATGTAAAAGCCTTTATTGCAAGCTCGAGCTTGGACTTGGACTCTCTGTCTATTCCGACACAGTGGTTGGATCAGAGAGAGATTTGGCTTGGTTACGGGGGGCGGGGTGTTGTTTAAGGAGAGTAAGGGATGGGGGTGAGATTTCCAGATTCAGATGGTGGCTGAACTCCTGACTGGGCAGGACTGAGGTAACAGAAGTCTTGTCAAACAGGGATTGGTACTGGCGTTGCTGCAAGGAAATTTGCAACCTGTATACAAGTTAGGTACAGGATTCTTAATGTTCTGGAACATCTAGTACTTGTCTCAATTCTCATTGGTTCCCCCACAGGCTACAGCCTGTGTGGTGGTTTTTCCTGGTTATTGTCAGCCACCATGTGGTTGCTGGGAATTGAACTCAAGACCTCTGGAAGAGTAGTCAGTGCTCTTAACCTCTGAGCCACTTCTTTAGCCCCTTTTCCTGGTTATCGTAAGACTGAGGCCTAGACCCGGTAGTCTGCAGCCTGTCATGGCCTCTTTACTCTTCCTTACAACGCACAATGTAGCTCCTGGGTCTTGCACTCATGCCTCTTCCTTTTGTGATTTTTCAAAAGAGGTTAAAATAACATAACATCAACCTCCCTTTATAATAGTACAAAAAATTTAAAAGGAGCAAAGCAGCATACCACATTCAAAAGTATCTGACCACATATCTAGGAACGTGTTCACCACATGCTTCATTGTCCTGGCCATGGGGACTGTCCTGATGAGACTCCAGTCCTTTCACAGAATGTTTCAAGAAGCAAACTGTGGTTAGATTGCATCCTCCTTTGTAGGTCAAATCCACACTTTTAAGGTAAAAGCATAGGAGATAGGGCCACTGGGAAGTAATTAGCTGATTATCTAAGAATTATCAGTCTACAAAATACCATGATCCAGAGCTTTTAGCTCCCAAACATATAAGTGAATGTTGTTTGTAGGCCATTCAGTCTATGGTGTTTTGTTACACCCACCCACAAGACTAACAAGGGCAATCTCCAGACTGATTGCAATGTTATATGTTCCCTTGGTTGAGAGCTACACCTCGAAGCCATCAGGCTTATTTGTTTTTCAGTGCTTTTTTTGTTTTATTTTGTTTCGAGAAAGGGTTTCTCTGTGTATCCCTGGCTGTCCTGGAACTCGCTCTGTAGACCAGTCTGGCCTCGAACTCACAGAGATCTGCCTGGCTCTGCCTCCCTTGTTTGTTTTTCAGAGGTTTTATTTTTAATCTGTGTTCTGCATTTATGTAAGTGCACCGTGTGCATGTGGTGCCTTCCAGGGCCAGAAGAGGACATTAGTTTCAAAAGCAAGTTATACACGGTTGTGAACACTCATGTGGGTGTTGAGAACTGAACCCAGGTTCCCTGCAAGAGCAGCAAGTGGCCGGGCGTTGGTGGCACATGCCTTTAATCCCAGCACTTGAGAAGCAGAGGCCGGCGGATCTCTGTGAGTTTGAGGGCAGCCTGGTCTACAGAATGAGTTCCAGGACAGCCTCCAAAGCTGCACAGAGAAACCCTGTCTCGAAAAACCAAAAAAAAAAAAAAAAAAAAAAAAAAGAGCAGCAAGTGATTGTAACTGCAGAGCAATCTCTCTAGATCTCTCTAGCCTCCATCAATTTTTTTCTTGGGGGGGGGCTTCTTGGTGTAGCCTTCATTGTTCTGGAACAAGCTCTATAGACCTGATGGCCTCGAACTCCCAGAGACCTGCCTGCCTTTGAGTGCTGGGACTAAAGGCTTGCGTCGACACCACCCTCCACCGATATATTTTTTTCAGTAATATATTTGTATTCATTGATGTTTTGCCCAATTGTATGTCTGTGTAAGATTATCGGATCCCCTGGAACTGGAGTTCCAGACCGTTGTGAGCTGCCATGTGGGTGCCGGGAATAGAACCCCGGTCCTCTGGAAGAAAGAGCCAGTGCTCTTAACCACTGAGCCATCTCTCCAGCCCCACATCGATATATTTTAAGCGTTCAAATCCTACAAATTATGATGCAAGCTAAAATGGCGCACGCCTTTAATCCCAGCACTCGGGAGGCAGAGGCAGGCGGATCTCTGTGAGTTCGAGGCCGGGCTGGACCGACAGCCTCCAATACAGAGAAACCCTGTCTCGTAAAAACAACAACAACAACAACAACAACAACAACAAAAAACAAAAACAAAAAAGAATTCACAATACAATCAGAGAAAATATTTACTGGGCTTTTAAGATTTTTGTTAATTCTTTTCTCTTCGAATGTCTATCACCATAGCTAGACCCTATGACAAAGCTTTGGGAGCAGAGGTAGGCTGGAGAGATGATAGCTCAGCATGTTAAGAGCACCAGGCCCTCTTTCAGAGAGGTCTCAGGTTCGATTCCCAGGACTCACACGGTCACTCAAAACTAGTCTAATGTCAGTTGCAGAGCATCCGGGGCAACCTCTGTGGGTGCTGCGTACACACAGTGCAGAGACACACATCCAGGCAATAAATGCATAAAATAAAGATAAATCTAAAAAAAAACAAAAAAGCCAGGTGGTGGTGGTGCACACTTTTCATCCCAGCTTGGGAGGCAGATCTCTGTGAGTTCGAAGCCACCCTGGTCTACAGAGCAAGTTCCTGGGCAGACTCCAAAACTACACAGAGAAACCCTGTCTTGAAAAGCCAAAAAATAGATAGATAGATAGACAGACAGACAGACAGACAGACAGACAGACAGACAGACATAAAGAAAGAAGCTGCTTTGGAAGATTTGGACTTAGAGTCAAGTGCTTCAAACTAGGGAGTTGTGGGTGGGTCAGAGTTCAATAAACTAGGCCCACTGGGGTGCAGGACTTCGAGCCTCCTGGAAAAGCTAGCTTGACTCACTCCTGGGCACACCCGTGTGCGTGCGTGCATGCGTGCGTGTGTGTGTGCGTGCGTGTGTGTGTGTGAAGCCAAATCCATCACAGCCTAAGAGTGGGGATAGTCAGCAGTGATGGAGTTTGGCTTTGAAACTGTCATAGAAGAGCAGGGATAGGGCGTTGCGGATGCATCCTCCTTAGACAAAAACGCTGCACACCAAACAGCTAAGACTTTTGAAAGGGCACTCGAGGCTTGCTTCAAAGCTGGTGATGTGTGGCCGGAGGATATTAGTGCTTGCACAAAACCACGAGGCCACAAAACGCTGATGCTAAATGGTGGGGACTGTTTTCCTACTGTCATCTTTTTTACGCTTGGTGACCGGAACCAGCCGTGCCGTTTCCTGGCTGCCACGGGGCAGGTACATGCCCAAGCGGAGGGGAGAGATGAAGGCTCTTGTCGGATCTGACTAATAGAAAACCCTGTAGATTTCCCTTAAGCTCCTGCCTCTCTCCTCTGCGCGAGGCTGCCCTTGGTGGTGGTGGGGAGGAAGCCACTATGGAGCGAGCCGCCCGGAGTAGCTAGCTAGCAGGAACCGAATCCTCAGCAGGAGGAACCGGGGCTGCTGGCACAAGCACACAATAGGAAACCCCCGGTGCCGCCGGACCCACAGCTCCTCCAGAGCTGTGCGCGGGGCGGCGCAGCCAGGGTGCGGCCGCAGCCGAGGACCCCGGTCCAGCGGATTCCAGGGACAATGGGACAAGGCCCCAGGCGCAGCAGCCACGGAACTCTGGGCGGCCGCGCGACCGCTCGATGAGGCTCTGGAGGAACAGGGCCCCGGGTCTCGCCGACACGAGTCCCCAGGGACACTCGGTGCGAGGCGCGACGCCGCCGGCCCACGCGGGACGCGCCCACGAGGCCGGCCGCAAAATGGCGACGGCGCCGACTGGCGGCGGCGCCCCCTGCCGGCGCATGCGCGTAGCGGCGCTCTCGCTTTCTCACCGCCCGCCCGGCCCGCCAGAGCGGAAGTCTTGTGACCCCGGAAGTGACCGTCCGAGCGGCGGGCGGCGGACGACGTTCGTCACTTGGTGCGGGAGGGAGCGCGAGAGCGGCGGTCGAGCCTCCGGTGAGTGGGCGCGTTGCATGGCGCGGGGCGGCGCGCGAGGGGAGCGGGTTGGCTTTGTGCGGCGGCCGCGGCGCTCGCGGGCGGGCGGGCGGGCAAGCGGGCGGGGCGCGGTCACAGGCAGCGGGCGGGGTGGGCCGGGCCGGGCGGGGGGGGGGCGCCTCGTAGGTCCTGCCCGAAGGGTCGCCGCTGCCCGGGCCTGGGCGCCAGGTGCCGGGGACGGGGGACGCAATCCCCGGCCTCGCGGGCGGGGTCCGGCGTGGGGCCTGGCCCGCAACTCCCGCCGCGCGGCCCCGCCCCGCCCGGATTGCGGGCCCTGCGGAAGTGCGGGCCGCGCCCTGGATGCTGTCGCCTGCGGCCAAGCGTGGCGACGTCGGGCGGGGTCGCCTGGACCCTCCCGGTGTCGGACCACCGCTTTATCTGTGTCTTTGGCGGACACCTCTCGGAGGGACGACGACGGCGCGGGGCCTTGTGGCCGGGCTGTCCCCTGACCACTGCGCAGCGACTGCAAGGGATTCGAGTGGGTTCCTGGAGACGTTGCGGGGGTGGGGGGGGGATGGGATGGTGCGGAACTGAAAGGCACCCGAGGCGCTTCCGTCCCGGGTTGGTTCTGCACCGCCGCTGACGCTTTTAGGGATCAGGGTCCAGGAACAGGTTCCTGAGATTCATTTGCAAGCGTTGCACCAGCCTCCCAAGTTGCATTCGCAGACCCTCACAGGGGAGGCCGACGGGCTTGCATTATTTTACCGTCTCCTTTGGGCTCTTGCAAATGTAAGCGGTCGCCACACGGTTGAGCTTAGGACAGCGTTCCATTTGGCAGGAAGGAGCAAACCCTTGTCCTGCACGTGGCTAAGTCACAGAGCATCCCCGTTTAAGAGAACTTTTCTCCGTGACACAGTGAGAGTGTCTTTGGATTAGAGCCTGGGCATCTAGGGGCAGCGGCAGGACTCAAGGGGTTCAGGGTTTCGTCTCCCAGTTCCGTTTGGTCAGGAGGCTACTCATTCTTCATGGGGAGGAGAGGTGTTTTTTTTTTTTTTTTTTGCTGCTTCTCTGAGGAACGGGCTGAGGTCCCCATTTTGTTACTTCATGGTGTACTTGGGGTGTAGCCCTCTCAAATGAGCCTCTTAAGTTAGCTGGGCAGTGAGTGGCAGTGCTGCCTGTCTCCTCTAAAAGTTGCCCTGGCACGGCAGCTACCTCCGTCATTCCCTGCAGGTGTCAGGGTCCTTCTAGGTTGGAATGCCTCCAGGTTGTCACAGCTCTGCCCGCTCCCCGCCCGCAGGTATCCCAGGTTAGAGGTGAGCATGGCAGAGCAGGAGCCCACCGCTGAGCAGCTTGCCCAGATAGCGGCGGAGAATGAGGAAGATGAGCACTCTGTCAACTACAAGCCCCCAGCCCAGAAGAGCATCCAGGAGATCCAGGAACTGGACAAGGACGACGAGAGCCTTCGAAAGTACAAGGAGGCCCTGCTGGGCCGAGTGGCTGTCTCTGCAGGTAGGTGGGTTGGAGTAAGGATGTCACCTGAGCCTGTCACCACCCCCTTTCCTGTCTGCCTCCCTCCTTCCAGGGAGTTGAAAAAAATCTAAGGAATTTGACTCTTGACTCTCACTCTCCAGACCCCAATGTCCCCAACGTCGTTGTGACCCGCCTGACCTTGGTGTGCAGCACCTCCCCGGGCCCTCTGGAACTGGACCTGACAGGTGAGTGGGTATTGGAGTCTCTGGGTGGGGCCAGCTGGCATCCAGCCGCTGCCCCTAAAAATAATTTTCTGCACTGGTGCCCTCTGGTGGGACAGAGGGGAAGTGCAGCTAGGTGCTCTCCTAGGCTCTGCTTTGTGTCAAGGAAGGGGCTGCCCAGAGTGAGCGTAGGGGGCAGAGTGGAATGCCTCCAAGCAGTCAGCTGTGCCTCCTCCCCATACAGGTGATCTGGAGAGCTTCAAGAAACAGTCGTTTGTGTTGAAGGAAGGTGTGGAGTACCGGATAAAGATCTCTTTCCGGGTAAACTGGGGGATTTGAGAGGCCTGGCAAAGGGGGGCAGAGGATCAGGACTGGGGGGCCAACTGACCCTTGCTCTGTGTCCGCACAGGTGAACAGAGAGATCGTGTCAGGCATGAAGTACATCCAGCACACATACAGGAAAGGGGTCAAAAGTAAGTGGGTGTACCTATGGAGTGGGGGGCCTGTGGGTTCCGGGAGGGGCTTGCATTGCCACTAACCACTAACCATGCCTCTCCTGTCCCACAGTTGACAAGACCGACTACATGGTCGGGAGCTATGGACCCCGGGCTGAGGAGTATGAGTTCCTGACACCCATGGAGGAGGCCCCCAAAGGCATGCTTGCTCGGGGCAGTTACAACATCAAGTCCCGCTTCACAGACGATGACAAGACTGACCACCTGTCCTGGGAGTGGAATCTCACCATCAAAAAGGAATGGAAGGACTGAGCTCCAGCTGGGAGGCGGGCAGGGCGACGGACAGACAGAAGGACCGACATGCCCCACCCTAAACCCCTACCCACCCCAAACCAAAGTGCTGACAGGACCCTCCCTCCCTCCCTCCCCATTCCTCCCCGGTCCACTCAGGCAGGCAGCTCTTCTGTCTGCCCCTCCTCCACCTCCTGCCTGCAGGCCCCCGTGGTCTCCAGTGTCACATTGCTGCTTCTGCCTGTGCAGTGGGGGAGGGGTTTCAGCCCAAGCCTCCAGTCTGCTGTCTCCCTCCAGGTTTCCTCTGTCTTCCCTTCCTCAGGCCCTGGCTTCTAGAATGGAATGGAACACTGTCTGGGTTGCCCAGCCCACCTTGTCTCTGCCCCAGCTGAGCTAGATTGCTGAGCACGGGGAAGGGCTGGGCTGTGTGTCCTCCAAGCCCCCACACCCCCTGGCCAGGTCATCCATCACTGTCAGTCACTGTCTAACCATGATGCCTTAACATGTGGAACGTGTACTGGGGGCCGTCGCTAACTCTTAACTCCCCTGTCTGCATGAGCATGTGGTCTCCCCTGTCCTTGCCTTGTCTGCCATCCCCATCCTGGTGACCCACCCAGGGAGGCCTGGGGTGTGCTGCTGTTGCTTCCTGCAGGCCTGGCCAGCTCTTTTCCCTCCCCGTGGCCAGGGTTGGGGGTGGCTCCAGTAGCTAGGGGAGGGTCAATTGCCAAAACTCAGTGCCTCCAACCCCACCTGGGAGGCAGGATAGGGCGCCTCATTCCTCTGCCGTCTCTGTCCTTGTAGGCAGCACTCAAAGCCCCTGTCCCCACAGAGAGCCCCTGAGGGACAAAGCCAGCCGAGCCTTACTTGTCTCACCTGGGCCCTATGGCCTAAACCTCGTGCCTGGCCTGTCAGTATTTATTGCCTCCATTTGGGCCAGCTGGCCTGATGCCTCTGCCCTGGCTCTTGGTGCCACCATCCCTGGGCAGGCCCTCCCTGGACCCAGCCAGGACAAACGTGGGACCAAGTGCACACAGTTGGGAGCTGTTTCCTGTGCCTCCCCTCCCTGTCCCCGTCCCCGTGTGGTGTCTGCCAGGCCTAGGCCTCAACAGGCAGAGGAGCCTGTCCCTGCTTCTCTTCTGACTGGGAAATAAACACCCTGAAGGAGTCTGGGGTGGTGTGGTCTACGTTACTTGTGGGGTTTGGAGGGAATGGCAAGACTGGTGGAGGGTGGAGGGTCTCAGGTCAGATTGCCCAGCTGAGAAGTTATCTGCTGCTAACAGCTGTTGTGTCTTTGCTACCCTAGACCCGTGGGTGACATGACTCAAATCTATGCCTGTGCTGGCAGCTGGGATTGGTGGAGTTAAGCGTCACGGTGTTGGTCCTGGACTTAAAGAAGGCATGCTTGGGTCAGCATGTCCTAGCAGGAGCTTGCCCTTAGTGTCGGAGCCCTGCATGCCACCCTTCGGGTCATCTCACAGGAGATGCCTAGGGAATAGGAGCCCTGCTGTGTTCTAGAACTTAAAGAAACGTACCTGGGTCTGGTCAGCATGCTGAAGAAGTGTTCCGTGTCTTAGCAAGGCTGACTGGAACAGGAAGTCAGTGCCGTGGAAGCCTCACTCCAGATTTCCAGTACTGTGCTCTCTGGGGCACACCTACAAGGCTGCATACAGGGACAGGAAGCTAGCCTCTGAGCCTCAACCAGTGCGGCTTAGCTCTTGTGTAGTCCTCTGCAGTGGCCACAGGGAGGCAGGACTACTCGCCTGCCGCCGAGCACATTAAAAGGCATGTAGTGACCTCAACGTTCCACCCTGCCCTTATGGATGCGTGTACAGTGACCACAGAACATTCAGCAGGAGTCATTCCAGAAACTTCCCTGTTAGGCCTGATGCCTGTTTTGAAAACCATCCTCTTAAGTTGTTCAGTGAAGTCATGCTATGCTTGCAGTTGGTACTGGTCAGCTGCTTTCCTGGAGCCCTCCCAGGCTTGCATTTGGGGTCCACCAATGTTGGCTGGGGATGGGGGAGGGGCCATGAAACTTTGCTGAAACTGGTCAGGAGATGTCTTTTTTTTTTTTTGGTTTTATGAGACAGGGTTTCTCTGTATTGTTTTGGAGGCTGTCAGTCCAGCCCGGCCTCGAACTCAGAGATCCGCCTGCCTCTGCCTCCCTAGTGCTGGGATGAAAGGCGTGCGCCACTACCGGCCAGCAGGAGATGTCTTTTTTTATCTTGTCACTGACAGCTGATCATAAACCAGGGAAGGCCACAGAGTAGAGCCAGCTCTTCTGCGGGACAGTAGCCCCGTGCAGTAGGCAGCCAGATTGTTGATCCAAGCCTCTCCCAAAACTTATCGCACTGCACCTGCAGTCAGTTAAGGCCTGAGCCGGGTGAGGCCCTTTTCCCCAAGTTTTGTAGCCTTACAAACCCAGGACCAGCCAGCCAGTCAACCCTTAAAATTTTGCATTTATCGAATAGGGGCTTCTGAAGCTTACCTTGGGCCAAGAATCTTAAACCTTACAACTCTAGGTTTGTCCTAGCCTGGTAGGTGTGTGAACTCAGACCCTGAGTGCCAAGTGTGCAGGCACACTGCCAACAGCTAGGACTTTGCTCCGGCTCCTCCCTTGGTGCAGGTTAACTTAGGGTGGCCTAATAAAGCGCATGACGTGTTGCTTTAGGTCCCAAGTCTAACTAGACCTTCCCTATCTCGCCACAACCTGTTCCTGTGGTGTGGTGTTCCAAGGCCTAGCCTCTTTCACCCAGGAGCCAGGTACCTGCAGGGTCCTCCCCACCAACTTCCCTCTATCCAGGACTCCCAGGAGTTCCCATGTTTCTATCTAGTCTCTCAGCCGCCTCCAGACAGGCCTCCTTCCCTGAGGAAGGTGATAGGTTGTAGGCAGTCAGCTTCCGTGGTGGTGTGTATAATTACCAGCTACTTTGATTTACAGGAACTTTCTCCATGCCCAGCGCCATCCTGTACCAGTCAAAGCTACTATAACCGTGGGGCCATGTGTACCATGTCCTACTGCCCACTTTGTTGTCACCAGCACTCTCGTTCACTCTCCAGCACGGATCTTGTGACCAGTAGCATCAATCTGCTGTTCACACTACTGGACATGACAAGCCGGCCAACTGGAATGGAGTTGCTTGGTTCTGAGAACTCATAACATTAGTAACCAAAACCAACCAATAACTCAACCCTTTGTTGATAGTTGATGAAGAATTTCTCTGAGTGAGACTTTTTTGATTTTTCAAGACAGGGTTTCTCTGTGTAGCTTTGGAGTCTATCCCGGCATTCAGGACTCAAATTCACAGAGATCCGCCTGCATCTGCCTCCTGAGTGCTGGAATTAAAGGCGTGTGCTACCACCGCCACCACCACCCGGGTGATACTCTTTCCTGGGGGACACTTTGATGAGTTTCCAGTGGCTAGAGAAATGTTAACAGCCAGTGTGGGTCTTGCACGACCTGGACACTACCTCTTGTGCAGTAGGAGCTGCTCTTTAGAAGTCATGAGACAGGCCTTGGGAAACAAAAGGGAAGTTCCCAGCTTGGCTCTCACAGATGTTCAGATGATGCAACTCGAATTCTTAGGTTGGGACATAATACCTGTATGTTATTTGGCTACTCAACAAACGCAGAGGAGCCGGGCGTTGGTGGTGCACGCCTTTAATCCCAGCACTCCGGAGGCAGAGGCAGGTGGATCTCTGTGAGTTGGAGACCAGCCTGGACTACCAAGCGAGTTCCAGGACAGCCTCCAAAGCCACAGAGAAACCCTGTCTCGAAAAACCAAAAAAAAAAAAAAAAAAAAAAAAAAAACGCAGAGGAGCCCAAGAATTTCAGGCCTCCCTCTGGCTTCTCAAGAACTCACCGCTGTGCCTGTTTGGGTTTGTGTAGATGGCCGATGCAGAAAGAGCAGACGTTCATCAGTCTAAGATTCTGTGATCACACAGGAGAGACTGATGCTTCTGGGCTGGCCCTTCTTTCCACTGTCAGTAAGGAGCCCGACCCTGTCATGCAGATGGGACAGCTGCCTTCATTGAGAGCTTTATCCACCCTACGCCTGCCACAGGTAGCCCTATCTGCTCCAATCTGTGTGCAGCTGGAATGCTTTACTTGGCCCATGTGTCTTCTTTGTATTTTACAACGTGCCCTGCAGGCAAGTTATCTTTAAACTATCATACTCAACCCCCCCCAACTCTGTTCCCTTCCATAGACAAAACATCCCACCCTTAGTACTTGCCACCAAAAACATGAAACTTTTTTGAGGGGACAAGATCTCAAGTAACCCACGCTGTTCTTTAGCTCCTGGAACTCACCAGGTGTAGCTGAACATACATGTGATCCCAGCAATTTAGGAGGCAGAGGCAGTAGGATTGCCAGAAGTTAAGGGCCTCAAGGGTCTACACAGTGAGTTTCCAGGCAATAGGGCTACAGAGTGTGTGTGTGTGTGTGTGTGTGTAGGGGGGGGGTGAAAGACTTAAAAAGATTCATCCACCTGCCTGTCTCTCTCTCATGCTTGGAATACAAGGGAAAACAACCATACCTGCCAGCCGACTTACTTAAACTCTTTGTCTTGGCTCCAAATCACAGCTGTTAAAACAGGTCAGGGCAACCACAAACACTGGGAGACGGTGTAGCCGACCTGAAGCAATTTTGGTCACACCAAAGAGCGGGAGTGTGTACATGCACTTCAGTTAGGAAGAGAAAGGGACAAGCACCTAACCCAGCTACTGCTGGACTCGGTAGGTGAGGGTGTCCCCAGAGTGCTCCTCAAGGGCACATTTGCTCTCCTAAAGTCACCCTTGAGACACACGAAGGCTTCCCAGCGGGCACTGGATGTGGCTGAGGCACAGGGGACTTGGTCTTTCAGGTAAAAAAACTCTTAAGCGGAGTTCAGTGTCAAAGGTGACACGTGACCTCATTTACAGCGTCTCAGAAGAAACTATCAACAGCCAAAAGCCTATTTCGGTTTTCGCCATTTCTGAGAGCGAGCAGTATATTACTAGTCAATGTATATACTTATGTGAATATGGGAGTGTTTTCCGTTTTCTAATGACCCTCAACTATCGGAATTGTTTTTGTAGT